TTAAGAGGCCTTTCCCCCCCCCCCCCCATATTGTAGAGAAATCATCATGGTCAGATAGATTAAGTTATTAAGAAAACAATCCTAAAAAAAAAAAACAACCCCAAAAAACAACAAAAAACAAAAAACACACAACAAGCAAACAAACAAAAAAACACACCCAAACTCCTATATCCTTTTATATTAAAGGCAGACTAAATTCATAGCCAAACCTCTTATCCACAAAAAGGAATTGAAAAATTTGAAAAAGTTTTTGACTTGACTCATTACTTTCTTGCTTTTTACATTCACATTAATATTTTCTAGAGAAAAATTAAGATTTTACTCAGCTCCTTTTGCAGTCTTATTAGATTTGAGCTATTCTAAAACATACTGTTACTAGTTTTAGTAGTAAATAAATGTCACCTACGTAGGCTGAATGTTCAGATATCTAGGATTTTGGATCAGGAGTTCCCCCCCCGGATTTTTACCTCTTTCACTCAAAGATAATCTCTTTCGCACAGGAGTTTGGATCACAGCACTTTCTGATTTTTTATCTGATGTAAAGAAATATAAATTTGGACTTGACGCAAGATACTTCTGTTCATGAGGCACATCTTTAGATTCAATATTTGATAAAGCACACAGTTTGTTCTGTATATTAGCCTCTCTGGATCTGAAGTAGGATGGAGAACAATTCTCCATAGGACACACTGGCATCCATGAGTTGCTGGGTCTCTCTTCGCTTTTAATGGTTGAATAGGTACCATTCGCAGAACAGGAGTCAGAGAAACACCCAAGACAAGGTGACAGCAACTGCGAGTCTGCAGAGAAAACACTGTCACTGCTGGGACTGATTAAATGTGGACTAGAACTATCATGACTTCTAAAAGTTCTTTTCTTCAGTATTTCTTCTAGATTTCTTTTTATATTGCACTGTGGACTGTCGAAGTTACAGGACTGAAATTTTGGTATCTGCAAAGCAGGGTTAGAGACTTGGTCCATCATTTGGATAGATTTGATCTTTCTGCATATACTGTCCACTGGGTTATGATGCCGTTTGTTAGCTCCATGTTCTAAAGACATTATCAATTCCCCTCTCTTGCAAAGTATCTGGAAAGAATAGGGACAAGATATAAGAGTCAGGATGATCAACATACACATATTCTTTGCACCAATTTTTCCAGTCAACACACAACTTGGAGCTTTGGTATCAAGTGATTTGAAAATCCTTGGTCCCTGTACCAGCTGTGACAGAAACCTTCAGTCACGATGTTTAGTTCTCCAGGGAACTAGAAATTATGTGGACTTGGAAAAGGTGGGGAAGAAAGAAAGAAAGACTTTCTGAAATCTCACTGCTTATTCTTAAATACAATAACCATGTCGGGGATGGAGAGGGGGTGGGGGAAACAAAGATAAGAACTGAAGAGCTCCGTGCAGCCTAGCAGTTGACTATCTTTTTAAGATTAAAGGAAACACTGAGCAATATTACTCAGACAGATTTATCCCAAATTGGGTATTTCTTTTTTATATAAGAGAGGTTCATTAAAAAGAAAGAAAAAACCTGACACAACTTTTGTAACTATTACTTCTGATCACATTTGTAGCATGTACTTCCTTCCCTGGTTCCACGGCTTTTTGCTCAGGTCTAACAGCAACAACTGTCCAGCTATTTCCTGAAGGTATCTCCTACAGCTATAGACATTATCAGTTTCTGATCTCTTTCAGCAGCCTCGCAGTCAAACCCTGCAGCCACAGGTACACAAGTCAGTTGAAGTATTCTGAGCCTGCAGCCTTCTCGGTACCATCTCGTGACAGGTTTCAGAAGCCAAGATTTAAATGAAGTTTACTTTCAGGAAAATATTAGGCTGTCTTTCTGGGTATTGGCTTGGGGGATGTGTGGAGGTGGGAAAAGTGAGTGCAACTAGAGTTTCAGCATTTCAGTGAGCCTACAAGAACAAAAAAACAAAACCCAGTTGTTTCTTATACTAATTAGCCACAACTACAGCTATCATGCTACCACACAGGGAATTACCCAAAAAATGTACCCTACAGAGGCACTTCAGTTCTATTTGCATTTTTATTATCTATTCTCCCAGACAATATTTAAAAAAAAGATAGTTCCAATAAGATAAGCATGTGTGCGTGACCAAGGCACGGAAGGTGCATTTTGCAGGCATAAAGCCACGTTTCAAGTGAGATATCTATCTCTACCTTGCAATTTGCAATCTTCTCTCTAACTGAGTAGTTGGGAGCTTTCATCTGACACTGCCCCACTGTGGACTTCACTCACAGTTCCTCACCCCAAAAAAAGAGCATCTGCTGCTGAAACATCAGCACTGCGAAACACCATCCACCAGCCCATGTAATCCAGTGAACGTGATCAGACTTGAACAGAGCTCTGTGACAGCCACCAGCAGCTTGACTGAATCTTCGTCATTAGAAAGAAACAAGAGGGAAACAAGCAATACTACTGGAAGTTAGCTATGACATTTAGATCATTATAAGAGATACGTAATTAAAAAAAAAAAATGCACCTGATAAAGCTAGCTGAAGCTCCTAAGAATGAGATTTTTAAGTGATATTTTGCACCCAGTATTGCAGCTATATACCTACCTTCCACCACTCTATCACTTTCAACTCCTCAGCTCTGAAAATACACTGTATTGCTTCTCTCCAGAAGATTATGTACAATGTTAAAAAACAAACACCAAAACACACACAAAAAACAACACTTGCTTTGAAGTAAGAAGCAAGGAAGGAGTCAAGAGTCCAGTGTATCTTAACTGCATAACCTACACAACCAGCAACAACAGTCCTCAGATCCTCCAAGACCGGGTTTTACTTGTAGCCAGCCTATCAGAATAGTACCGTTACAGACCCGACTTCTGCTAGGGGTAGAGCAAAATTAAACAGCAGCTTTATAACTAGAGCTCACAAGGTGGTGTGGGCATGTGAGAGGGACTGACATGGTTGACCGCAGGGACAGAACACCAGACTCCTTGACCCCGAAGGGATTTCCCCCTGCATAGTACAAATACCAACTTGTCCCCAGAAGGATATAGACTTCAGTGAACTGCGTCTTTTTACTCAAACTCTGCATCAAGAAATGAAATGAAGCAACCTCCCCCTCCCCAAGAAGTTAGCTCCCTGCTTTTCTTGTAGGCATAAAAAAAATAGTTCTTTTCTCAAAAACAGCAACATGCTTCATTAGCATTTAATGCAAGACTTGCCACTTGTATAATCTCGTGAAGTAAAGAGGAAAATCACATGTAAATATTTATTAATCTGGATTGCAATAGACACAAATACTCAATGTTTTACTTAAATCAGTTTATTACAAGCTTCCTGCATGCCAGCAGCTTTGTTTTATATATGCAGAGTCAAGATCTCAAAGTTTATTTTTCTATCGTCGTTTCTGTAAGTAGTAACATTTACCTTAATAAACATGTCCTTAACCACAGGAATACTTAAAAAACCAAACCAAAACAAAACACACAATAGTGAGAATCTCAGAATAATTTTAGAGAAGAGACTGCTTTTTATTATTATGGCTGATTCAAAAGATTTATTCCGTAAAAATAAATGCCAGGAAGTTGAAGCAGCCTCCTATATTAGAGATACAGAATGTCTTTTAACAGAAAAACTTAAAAACATTGGAGTTAGATTTAAGTATGTTCTCTAAGTGCACAAGAGCCTTCAAACAGATATAGAGTAACCCTCTATTAAAGGATATTAGTCTTTTTAGCTACAATGTGTTTTTAAATATTGCTTGTAATTCCTCATTAAAAAAAACAAAACAAACAAAAAAACAGTCCAAGACCTTATACTTACAATAGCGTATGAAAAAATACCTTGTATTCCTCTGTAGCAGAGATAACACAGGATGACAAAAG